CCTCACCGTCCACCCCTCTTGCTAACGCCACATGTCTGCCTCCCAAGGCTGAGCTGCAGCCGTATGATTCTCAAGACGGCCGTAACCCGAAACTGCGCAACAGCTTGCAATAGTCTGGTCGGGGTCATAACAAGGGGCGTAGCCCAAACAACGAGGCACACAGTCATCACCAAGGTAGGAACCAATTGGCGGAGTGGGCCGTAGCGAGCCTTCGAAGGCCTGGCAATAGGCCGTGCCGTGAGCATATGGTAGTTCGCGCACCCGTACCCGCAATAGAACAGTAGCCTTCCAGCCAACGTAGCCCCTTCTGCCGCTGAGACATGGCCGGGGCAAGCATCTAAACACAGCCCGACGGAGTTAGCAGGTCCTAAAGTAACCCGCAACAGATCAGCAACTTGAAGTAGTGTTACCGCCTGCAGCACGCTCTACGACTGTCCCCTAGCTACTCTGCTTCCGCAGGATGGGTGACGCACCGGCCGACAACTAGGCCTGGCTCCTGCAGCCGGCGTGCAGCGAATGAGCAATCAGGGAACACCGCAGCTGTCCCGCAGGAAATACCGTGCGCTAGCCGCTGCACACAAGTGACGTAGCAGCCTGGCACCGTGGGGAGAGGCAGCAACTAAGATACCATCTGTGGGCATAGAGACTCTGGCGGCAGCTCACGAAAGTTAACAGGTAGGACTGCGGTACCCCCCTTCCTCGTCAGCGAAATCGTAGACACCCGTTTTAGCTAGCAATCCGGCAATGGCTGCAGCCGGCTGGTGTGAACCGCAAGCCGCGTGATAACGCCCCACCTACGAGCCCCATATAACTGCGAATCCCCTTCCCGTACAACCGCCTGTTGCACAGCAGCATCCGGCGGTCGACAGGACTTCCACCTTCTTCAGTGTCCCCTCTCTACCCGCCTTTTCTTCCCGCCCCCAATTCACCAACCTTCGCCAATTCGTTCATGCACATTGCCACTCACTGACCACACAGCCTACTTCCGAGCTGCCGGCATGCCCAGCGAGGCCCGCCTTCTCAGCGCGATACATTAGGTGGTTCCCGTAACCGCAGCCCGCCCTAGCCTGCTTAGAGTGAGCTTGACGGTCGCCCTTCAAGCAGCGCGCTACACTGCAGTGCTGTCTCTCAGCGCTCGTCTCCACCACGAGGCCGGCCCTAAGGCAGGCAAGCTTCGGATGACCCTCCCGCTAGAACTCGGGAAGATACGTCTGCCACTCCCGAGTCCTCTCCTTAGCGCTCCGCGGCCCACCCGTGGGTTAAATAGGCAAATCCCCTACCGCCCGGCTGACCATATGCTATCCCCACTGATAGGGTAGGTAAGATAGAGTGAACCTCCCGCTAGAACGCGGAGAGATAGATTAGTACTCTCGAAAACCCAGTCTTTCCACACTGCTGCCACAACCCACGCTCCCTTCCTGTTAGTCAGTTGGTCAATCGGCCATCTTAGCGGACCTCACCCTCGTTTAAACCTCGACGTCGACTCTTCCCTCACCCGAATCACCTCTTAGCCACGCAAGAAAGCTCTCTCCTCCTCACTGTTCTAACTTCTCGCACATCCCTCTTCTTATAGCTTCTGACCCACCATCTTTTTGCCAACTCTGACTTCACAGTCGGATTCCCCGGGGGTCAAAACCCTAGGAACCGCTCTCTCTTTGCCCAAAACCGCTAACGAGCGGGCACACTCTGCACTCTCCCCTGCGCCATACCCAGTCCTCCCCGCTATCTCCGAATGCACCTGGCGTGACCCCCGTCCAGGTTCGTTCAGCACGCCCCCCCCCTTGCCTTCACTGTCGTACAGCGCCACGCCGCCCGCTGGTCCCTGCCCTGCCACCAGCCGCTCTCTCAGCCCGCTTCGATCTTCGGGCATGCTGCAAACCTCATCACACTGGGCACTGGGGCAGCACTCTTGCATGGCTTCCGCAGATACCGACAAATGGTCGGGCGTTGCCCCTCAATTTATACTTTGGAGCTCGTCGGTCCGCCCCTTGGCCATCGGCCCTTGCGAAATTCGGGCGGCTTTGGCGCCACTCCGCCCTCGTTTTATCCCTTCCGCACGTACCTAGCGCGACTTGTGCCCGGATTCGCTTCGAGCCTTTGCGCACCCCCCCCCACAATCGGTCGTGCGGATCTCCTCTGTATCGTTCCAATTTTCACACGTGCCCCGAAGGACTCGGCCAGGGCAATTTCCCGCCGCAGTCCCGAAGGCCCCTCGCCCTTTTCACCCCTTCCCTTTTCCCTTTCTACTTCTCACGCCCCTGGCCCAATTCGCATCCGGGTTCATTCCCGGACCCTTTTCCGTACGTCACCCCCACATAGGGGCCACGTGATTCTTCGCAGTGTAGCAACCCCTCCCGCCTGTAGCAAGTCTTTCCCCTGTAGCGAGCGTTTTCGAGCCCGCCCTCGATCTTTATCTTTGCCTTGTCAGCACGCCGCACCGATCCTCGGAAGATCCGGCCGTCCTCGGAGGATCCAACCTCTTTCCTCTATTTCGAGGATCTAGCCTTATTCCGGGGCCCGATTCAAACCTGGCCTCAGCCACCGCTTGGCAATGAGGCCCTGGGGCAACCCACGAACCCAAACAGCCCCCTTGCTCTTGACCGCAGGATTCAGGCGTGTGGCCTAACGCGCGCTGCAAATCGCAGTAGCAGCAACGCTCGGCCCCTGCTACCTTCCGTTTACGTGTGCCGTCCTTGCGCAGGGGCCACGCCAACCCCCTCTTTACGGGTTTCTTCACATGAACCTAGCCCTTTTCCGAGGCCGGGTTCAGACAAACACACCCACCCTATGTCATCGCTTCACCCAGGACGGGGTGTCCGGGCCACCTCTTGCCTTCACTCCCAGCTCAGCGTACGCCCCGACGGACCTTGGCCAGACGGCACCCCTACGGGAACGCCAAGGCTACTCCGCCGATGCCTTGGCAGTCCGAGGGCGTACCCGCTGGCCAGACTCTCGGACCCAAACCACCGCCACGATACCACGCCCCTAAACCAAATAAAAATTACAACTAATACAAAAATAAAAATAGAAACATTATAACCTTACATAACCCACATATATACACGTGCCCCAAACAAAGGGCGGAGCCGCGGGTACCTTGCCGGTCACGTGGGTCGGGCCCGCCGCCGCGCCAACTAGCAAAACCAAAAGGGAATAGCCTTGTCGGGCCCTCAACCCCCTCAAACTTCCTCCGTAACGCTCCGCCGCTGCTACGCCGACGCCCGCCAGCCTCGATCCTTGAACCTCTGTAGCGGTAATCCGACACCGTAACCTATAGGGCTATGCCCAAGCCTGAGGTAAGTGAGGGCGGACTCCAATATGAAGTGATGCGGCGCCATGCCTAGGCCCAGGAAAAAACAGCCTAGGCCCCCGCGCCGGCCCACCCAGGCAGCGGCATGGCTGCCTCGCGTGCCCCGCCCCACTGTCGGCGGCACGTGTCGCCCATGACGAACTTTTATTCCCTAATCAATTCCTTAACATGGTCCGCGTCGGTCGGCTACCCCGACCGCCTATTTCGACCAGAAAAAATCACACGCGCGCCTCAAAATTGCACGCCCACATACTCCCTACCGGGACAAGGCAGACCTTTGCCTGCGTGCGGACGACCATCGCATTTCCCCGCACGGGCACTCAAAATTCAGGCTAGCCGAGCCTCCCTGTCACTTGCAAAAACCAGGGCAGATACCCTTGTAAGGGTATTCGCGCCGACATCGCCCTGTTCATGAACTCAAAGGGCGGATGCTAGATCTGGTTGACCCACCTGGCAACCTCTCACGGCGTCGACGTACCAGACTTGAAGGACAAGATCACATGGGAGGAACTGCCATGGCTGTGGAAGAAACGGTTCATCGTCGACGACGCGCCGACACTCGCCATCAACCGTTTTTTCACCATGTCACAGGGCAACACCGCAACACGGGACTGGCTCACGGGACTGGCTCACGGAACAATGGGAAGGCGAAACCAGCATCGCAGGCCGAAAATGGACAGCCAGCACCACCATGGGTCAAGTTCGGCTTGACCGAGCCCAATTACAAGTTCCGCGGCCGTTACGGCTGCTGTTACTGGTGCAACAGCACCAAGCACAAGACCTCTCTTTGCCAGGATCAGGCCAAGGAGGATGTGCGGCCTCGGCTCAACTCGGGAAACTGAGTTTCGCGGGAGGTGAGGCGACTCCACCCCCCACTCCGCCAGATTCGGTCGCCTTGCTAGCGCCCTCCTACACATCTGGGGAGGATGCGAATGTCGCAAGTCCTCGGTACACTTACGAGGATTATGATGTCCACTCGGTTCCAATGCTGGACCAACCGCTCCACGTGCAACAATCTACCACATACACGGTTTCATCACCATCGGCAACCGATTCGGCAGCTTCGCCGCCATCTATCGTCGGGGATTCATCGTCGTGGTCAAGACTTGAGGTGCTCGACCCACTGACGTTCACGGACTTCCAGTGGACGATTGTTGAAACCGCATTGCGATGTGCTCATGGCACAACTGCAGGATTACTTGCAAACTGCAGGACCAGCTCCGTTGATGGACGCCGGAGTATAGGTTGTCGACCTTCACGCTTACATTGCGAAGATCAACCACGAGTTCAAGACACAATGGTACGACGAAATCGACGCACCATTGCTATATGTACGCATTCACATCGGAGAGGCGACCTGCAACGCCTTGATTGATTGCGGAGCATCTCGCAACTACATCAGCCAGGACTTCATGATGCGCGCCGGCCTTGGCCCACGCGTCCGAAGGAAGTCCCAGCCTATGCAAGTCACGTTGGCGGACGGTCACACGCACAAGTCAATTGACCGGTGCATTGACAACGTCCCAGTGTACTTTGCCCCTCACGCAAGTGAGGCGGTGTCCTTTGACATTCTGGACACCAAATTTGACATGATCTTGGGCACGTCATGGCTGCGAAGCGGGGATCACCCGGTGAACTTCTTCCACCGCACCGTTCACATTCGTGATCGGAACGGAGTACTAGCTCCATGCACGGTGCCTCTTCCTCATCCTTCGATCAGCTGCCACGTGGTATCCGCCGCAAGCATGTGAGTTTCCATCATCAGAGACGACATCGAGGAAATGGGGGTGTGTTTTCTCCACACCCTCCCGCCCCATGACGCTTCATCGACGGACTCACCTTCGGATCCACGCATCACCGAGCTTCTCGACGCGTACAGCGACGTGTTCGAAGGTCCGCACGGAGTAGTACCGGATCGACCCATCCGCCACGAGATCATCCTCGAGGACGGGGCCGTACCTCCACGCGGTTGCATCTACCGAATGAGCGAGGAAGAGTTATGTGTGCTTCGGGCACAACTCGACGACCTTCTGGAGAAAGGCTGGATTCGGCCTAGCTCATCGTCATACGGTGCTCCTGTTCTCTTCGTCCGGAAGAAGAACAAGGATTTGCGATTGTGCATCGATTATCGCAAGCTCAACGCGCAGACGATCAGAAACGCCGACCCTCTCCCACGTATCGACGACCTTCTCGAGCGATTGGGCGGCGCCCAGTTCTTCTCTAAGTTGGATCTCAAGTCAGGGTACCACCAACTCGAGATTCGCAAGGAGGATCRSTACAAGACTGCGTTCAAGACTCGGTATGGGCATTTCGAATGGCTGGTCATGCCATTTGGCCTTACGAATGCCCCAGCCACTTTCCAAGCGGCTATGACGACGGAGTTCCGACACATGCTGGATCGTTTCGTACTTATCTACCTCGACGACATTCTGGTTTACAGCCGAAGTCTGGACGGCCATGTGGAACACCTGCGTACCATTTTGGAGCGGCTACGACAGGCCAAGTACAAAGCAAACCGCGACAAGTGCGAGTTCGCACAGCAGGAGCTGGAGTACTTGGGACACTATGTGACGCCGCAAGGCATCCGTCCGCTTGCGGACAAGATCGAGGCCCTACGAGTATGGCCCGAGCCCACCAACACCACGGACGTTCGTTCATTCATGGGGTTGGCGGGCTACTATCAGCGATTCATCACCGGATACTCCAGGATTG